CCCACCCAGCCGCCTCTCTCGGGCCCTGCGACCTCGTACCTTTGCAGTGGACGGCCACCGCCCCGGCCGTGTTCTCGCAGATGCTCAGGAAGCGGCGCACGATGGCGTCGCTGGGCGTGCTGCCGTCGATGAAGAAGAGGTCGTGGTGCTGGAAGCCGGCGTCCGTGAAGCGCTTGGCCTCGTAGATCTTCTTGTTCAGCCTCACGACGGCCGTCACGTTGTGCTTCTTGAAGTACGGAAAGTAGGCCTCGGGGGCATGGAGAGGGTACCCTGCGGGACACCGGAGCGTGAGCAGAGGCGGAGGCGGAGGCAGACCCCTGACCGCCGGGGACGCGCGTGTCTACGGCCCCGCGGGAAAGCGAGCTTCGTGGGAGCGGACGGTCCCGGGCTTCTGGAAGAGGCAGGCTGCAAATTCAGGAGGCTGAGAAGGAAACACCGCCGGGGCGGTGCCTGCCATCCCAGCACTTTGGGAGGCCGAGGTGAGAGGACGGCCTGAGCTCAGGGGTTTGAGACCAGCCTGGCCAACTCGGTGAGACCTCGTCTCTACGGTAAATGAAAAAATCAGCTGGGCGTGGTGGGGCACACCTGTAGTTCCAGTTACTCAGGACACTGAGGCAGAAGGATCGCCTGGGCCCAGCAGGTTGGGGCTGCAGTAGCTGTGAGCATGCCACTGCACTTCAGCCTGAAGACAGTGAGACTCAGACAGAAAGGAAGGTTGGGAGGAAGAAAGAAGGGAAGGGAGGTGGCTCACGCCTATAATCTCAGCACCTTGGGAGGTAAGACGGGAGGACTGCTTGAGGCCAGGAGCTCGAGACCAGCCTGGGCAACATAGCGAGACCTCATCTCTACAAAAAAGTCAGAAAATTAGCCGGGCATGGTGGTGCACGCCTGTAATTCCCAGTTACTCAGAAGGCCAAGGGGGAAGGATCATCTGATCCCAGGAGGTCAAGGATGTCATGGGCTGTGATGGTGCCACTGCCACTGCACTCCAGCCGGGGTAACAGAGTGAGACCTCAACTCAAAATACATAAATAAAAAAGAAAAGCTCTCTAAGTACAGGAAATAGCTAATTTAAGTCCAATCCACAACTTCTATGTTCAAGATGGCCTATGAAAGGACACAGGTAAGCTGCCGGTTAGCGAGGCCTGCCTTCCCATTGCCACCTTCATCCTCCTTTGTGTGACCTTGGCCAAGGGGACCAGTTGGAGTTCTGGGCAACAGGTAGCAGAAGCAGCTCTGGTAGGTGAAACTGGAAAGTCATGGGAGCATGCTCCTCCTGCCCCCAAACCAGCACGTTCCTAAAGTGTCCAATGTGCTCTCAGGCCCAGTGTGACTCCGAGGACGTCATTACCTCCTGTGCATTTTTCTCCACCCAACAAATACTCTTCAACTCATTAAAACTTTGTTCTCTTTTTGCCAGATGGATAGTTTTCATCTGTCATACAACCACAAAAAGAGACTGATTAGGAAGCACCTGCGATGTACACGTGAGGCGGGCATATAATTTCCCTAATTATCTAAACAACCTGCTAAATGAAGGATGACCACCTAACCCGGTTTAACAATTAAGACACTAAAAGAGCAGGGTGCCAGGCAGTGGGTCAAAGGATGCTCAGTTTCAGTTAGGAAAGAGGAATGTCAACTATATTGTAACAATGTATACTATAGCTATAGCTGGTAACAATGTAGCATTTGCCTCAAAGTCACTTAGTAGATTTTAGTGTTCTGATCACAAAAAATGATACATATGTGTGGTAATACACATGCAAAAAGCCACTCTACAATATGTAAATATTTCAAAATATCATGCTGTATAATATTATACAGTTTTCATCTGTCAACTAAAAATATAATTCTTGGCTGGGCACGGTACTCACGACTATAATTCCAGCACTTTGGGAGGCCGAGATGAGAGGACTTCCTGAGGTCAGGAGTTCGATACCAGCCTGGGCAAGATGACAAAACCTCATTTTTACAAAAAATCAGTCTGGTATGGTGGCATGTGCCTGTGGTCCCAAACTACTCGTGAGACTGAGGCTGAGGCTGAAATATCACCTGAGCCCAGGAAGTTGAGGCTGCAGTGAGCTGTGATCATGCCACTGTACTCTAGCCTGGGTGACAGAGTGAGACCCCAAGAGGAGAGAGGGAGAGAGAGAGGAGAGAGGGAAAGAGGGAGAGAGAGAGAGAGAGAGAGAGAGAAGAGCAATTAGTGTTTTTGGGGCAGAACATGCAGTCTCCAAGCCCCTTTTCTTTTTTTTTTTTTTTTGAGTGGGAGTCTCACTTCGTTGCCCAGGCTGAAGTGCAGTGGCACATTCACAGTCACTCTGGCAATCCTTCCAAGTAGCCAGAACTATAGGCACGCACTACCATGCCCAGCTAATTTTTTTTTTTTTGGTAGAGGTGAGGTCTTGCCAAGTTGCCCAGGCTGGTCTCGAACCTACAGGCTCAGGCAATCCACTTGCCTCAGCCTCCCAAAGTGCTAGAATTACAGGCTGAGCCACTGAGCCCAGCCCATCCCTTTGTATTTCTGAGCGGCTTCACCTTCATGTGAAGGTTTCAGGGGGCTGTGATCAGTTGGCCAAGGTGACCATGGAAGCTTTGACCACCGCAGACCTTGCCTGACAGCCCCAAGAGACATGGGAGGGTCTCATTTCTCAGCACACTGCCTCCCACCTCTGCAACCCTGCAGGTTCACCAGCTCATGGCCACCAGGTGAGAGAAACGATCATCAGATCCACTGGTGAGGAGGGTTCCAGAGGGGGCAGGGAGGAGGGCAGACACTTTCTGCAGGGCATCCTCGGCTGTGCTTCCTGCTGCCCTGGACTTTGCTGTGCTGGTCAGCGCTCGCCCTGAGCCAAGCCTGCACACTGGCGCTGTGGTGTTGGGGCCGTGTTTCCAGATCCTTTCTATCTGACCTCCAGTTGGTTCTAGAAGTGGAGGCATGGCGGGACGACCGGGAAGAAGAAGGGCTTCTTCCTATTCCCTGGCTGCATCAGAGTGAAGACAGGAGCCACCCAAGTGCCCAGCTCAGTGTTGCACACCCAGCTCCAGCCTGCAACACTTGCCTCAGGTCAGAGCCCTGCCTTGTAGCCTTCCACTCCTCAGCCCCCAACTCCCGGTCTTGCTATGTTGCCCAAGCTGGTCTCGAACTCCTGATTTCAAGAGTTTGGCCTCAGCCTCCTGAAGTGCTGGGATGGCAGGCATGAGCCTCCACACGCGGCCCCTGCGCATCTTCAAAGCCTAGGTTTCCAGCCTTCTCTGGGAGTCTGTGAGCTGCCCATCGCATTCCAACAACTGACTTTCCAGTTTCACTTACCAGCGTTTCTTCTACTACCTCCTATCCAGAGCCCTAACTGGTCCCCCTAGGCCAAGGTCACACAAAGGATGAAGGCAGAATTGGAAGGAAGGCCTTACTAACCCATGCATCATTCCATGGGCCATGTTGCTTTTAGGCCAGTAGGTAGCATGAAGCTTATTTAAAACCTTCTGTGGAGAAACAGTAATGCAGACACCCACACAGAATAAACACATGCTTTTCTACCTACAGAAATCAAGTCTGTTCTCCTAGTTGGCTTACCTGCTCAAATTATTTGCCAACAACAGATTTATAACCTAGAGGAGACAGGACTACAGCTGGGATGTGGAAATGAGAGTCTTTCTATGAGGAATGGAAGGAAGGGCTCCCGGCACATGGGAGTCCCTCTTGGTGGGTAGGCTGGTGAGAGCCCCTGCCTGAGCTCCAAGCACACCGGGGATGGCCATGATGGCTGCCATTACCCACTGTGCTCAGGGACGGTTTGGGGTCTGTCACCTCCCCGCTGCAACCAAGGCTGAAAGACCCTCTTGCCATATATGAATTTCCACCAGGAGCAAGTGGCAGTATGGCTAGTATACCCAAACAGACCATTAACACACTCATGATCGGCAAATTTTTCACTTGAGAGCAGGTGAAAATAAGAAAAACTTCAAGCTGGTTGCCACAAACTTGGGTCATTAAGCACAAGTGAAATGGTCTTTTCTTTTCTAAACTGTCACTTTTTTCACAATACAGCTGAAAGCTGAAGATATATTCAGGATTTGCCTCAGACACCATTCTAACTAGCATTCCATACTTTGTATATATTTTGAATATATTATATATATATGTATATATATTTGTTTACATTGCATCATTATATCACTATCTGTCTCACTATCACTAATAAGTTCACTGGATTCATCTTTGACCTCGGTAATCCCATCAGCATATATTTCTTCATTTTCCAGAATTATGGTAAATTACTTTTAACATTGAAGCATGAAAGCCCTGAAATACCAAAATACATATACATATAATATATTCAAAATATATACAAAGTATATACAAAACATACAAAATATATACAAATATATACAAATATGACACTAATTGCAACAAAATAATGACCAATTTGCAATTTTTACCAGTCACCTAAATCAATAACTTTATGCAGTTGATATCAGATAATTATCTCAATTAACTTTCTCTCTCCTTGCCTGACTATTCATTTTCAAGCAAAATATAATAACACATAGATATGACACTGTTACAGCATTCAGAAACAGAATTTACAAAGATGTAAATTCATGCCAGCAGCAACCAGGAACAGAATTTGGAAACAATGTAAATTCACATCCGCCATGGCAAATGAGTTAAGAGAAATTATGGATACCTTCTGAGGAAAGAATGCTAGACAGAAACTGCCCAAATCTGTCAACAGACACTGGGATAATAGCAATAATGACGATAATTGCACCAAACATTTTTCAAGTTCTTGCTTTGCTATATGTCAGCCCTCCTACTGAAGACCTCTTGTGGGTTATCTCTGCAGTTTCTCAAGGACAGATGCCTGGGGAAACCACTAAGCCACACACACACAGCGAGGAAAGGGCAAAGCCAGCACCTGGACCCTGGCCACTGGGCTCTGACATCCATGCTGGGCTGGTTTCGGGGACCACTCAGCTTGATTCCATGGTTTGGCTTCCAGGTAAGACAGTGTGATGGGAACTTGGAGGCTGCACTCCTGGGAGCTAGCGAGCAGCTTCTACAAACACCCCTGGACGGTTTCCATTGAGCTACACCAATCATGAGACACCTGTGACCTGCGACCCTGCCTGTGGGTGTCTGCAGTGTTTGGATGTTTGTGTGGGGACTGTGTGGGCACCACACTCTGGTCTTGGGGTCTCCTGCCCACCCAGTGCTGGCCAGCCTGTGTCCACCCTGATTCCCTCTGGTCCCTGGAGGGGGCCCC